AGCTGTTGATTGCCTGCACCTTGTTCTTGCCATTGAGCTGCTTCTAAGGACTTGCCTCACTCTTTGCAGGTATTTGGCCGTAGCCGCTTTCCTTGTTGCCTCTTCGAGGAGCCATTTACTTGTGGGACACCAAGGTACTTGTAACTGTCCTCAATGTCTGCTATTGTTCCATATATATATATATATATATATATATATATATTATATATATATATATATATATAATATATATATATATATATATATATATATATATATATGGTACTGTCAGTTTCACCAGAAAGGCAGAAAACGAATGTTACTGAAAATACAAGAGCTCCATCTGGTGGTCGCAAAAATAGATAACAGGCATGGCTCCCTCTGGTGGCCATGAAGGTAAATACAATACCTGCTCGAGGCCTGCCTAGCGACCGCGTGACAAGACTTGCCTCGTGCCTACAACCAATTAAAAACCACGCCGTGCGTTGGTTACATAACTACGAAATTAGCGACAGAATATGAAAAGGTAAAACACAACATTATACGTATAATGACGAACAAGGCTAAAGGAAAAAGTAGGCCCAAGCTAACAACAAAGTGTAACAAGAACAGATAATATAAAACTCACTCTCATTGACACACATTCAACAATGAACACTTACTTGCATAGAACGCACACACTTCACACAATCAGAGGACAGCAAATACAAAACAAGCAGGTAATAACAGCGCCACTAAACACTGCTGCTTGCATCGAACTTTTCAACCAACCAACAACGAGCTGCAGGCTGAAGAGTCCAAGGCGTCTTCTGATTGGACGAGAGTCCAGGTGAAGCGAGGTGCACGGCAAGAGAGGAGAGAGAGAGTGTCAAAGTCTGTGGCCACAAGGGGCCTTTTCTACAGGACTTGATGTTTGTTTTATAATTATTGGCCCATATTTCCACACAGTAGTTGAGGTATGGAAGGATGAGAGTGTATATAATAGTCTGAGTGCATTGTGATTTACAGAGATTTTGATTTTACATAATATAGCAATGATTTTTGAAATCTTTGTCTTCAATATGTTTATGTGCAGTTTCCAGTTTAATTTATCATCTATATTTAATCCCAAGAATTTTGTTGAGTACACCTCTCAATTTCTGTATTACAATTTTTATATGGCACTGTTTATTTATTTATTTTATTGATTAAATATGTCTAAATCATGCCGTGTGGACGTGTCTCCTCGTCTTCTATCAATAATATTTTTAATATGGTTCAGTAAAGTCTGGGCTTTTTATTTTCTTTTAGCAGACAAAACATTTTATGTGAAGATTTCTGAGTCTTTGCTTTTCTACAGCAAATCAAGTAATCCAAAGTATTCAGATTACATTACTCACTTTAAGTAATTTAATGGATTACAGTCCAGTGAGATTCATTTGATCTTCCAATATTCTATGTTATTAGGTTCTTTTTTTCAGACCCAGAGTGTTGTTTCATACCTGACAGTTTCGACTGTTCACTAGCGTCTTCCTCAGAGTCACGTGATGTTGCTGTGACGTGTCTGTTCAGCTGATTTAAACTGATGACAGATGCAGGTGGCGCTGTCGTCCTGCCTCCACCGGTAGGAAGACAGCACCAAAACCTGTTTAAATCAGCTGAACAGACACGTCACAGCAACATCACGTGACTCTGAGGAAGACGCTAGTGAACAGTCGAAACTGTCAGGTATGAAATAACACTCCAGGTCTGAAAAAAGAACCTAATAACATTCAATGGATTACGTTACAAACTACATTTTGAGGCATGTAATCTGTAATCTGTAGGAGATTACATTTTAAAAGTGACCTTCCCAACACTGTTTGTATGAGGGGTAAATACATTTACTGAAAATGTTTTCAGCTGAAATGACAAAGTTGCTGGGACATGCACAAATTTAAAGAAACAAATGAAGCCACAGATTCAGCCTGTGTGAACTTCCTAAAATAAAGTCATGTTCACTACTGTGACTCTGAACACACTATATTATCATTTAGTAGTAGATGTTGTATGATATGGGGGTGAAGAGTGAGGAGAGACATTCAGTTTACAAAGTGACATTTTTCTGTTGTAGATTCAGCAGCACAGGAGGACAAACTGTTTTTCCCCTCAACAGGTCAAGTATCGTGACACTGGTAGAATTTCTTGTTATGTTTCTGTATTTCAATAAACTTTGATCAGTTTTTCTACGACTCATGACAGACGCAAACTTTTTTTTTTACTGCATCTCATAATTTTTAACAACAGAGTACAGTTTGAATATTTTGGGGGATATTTCCACTTTTAGGGTTGTTGTGTTTTTAATATTTTCATCTATATTTTCTCCATCTAAATTTCAGAGCCTAAACAAAAGTGAAAGTTCAGTTCTGTTCTGTGGGGATCTGCTTCACACGAGCTTCAGGATTTCATTCTGATAAAACCTGGAAAACTCTTAAACAGTGTTTAAATCAACCTCAAAACACTTCTGTTGAGCTGCAAAGGCTTTTATTCATATTTATGCTGTTTTCTTCTCTTTTAATATTATTATTATTTTATTTGTTTTTATTGTAGTTGTAATGTGTTTGTTATTGTGTAAATCACTTTGAATGACTTTGTACTTGTCTGATCTGATCTGAGACTAACACCTGTCATGTCATCAGTGTACAGACAGGGGGCAGTGTTGGCTCATTGCTAGAACATTCACTCACTTGAGCAAGGCACTTCTCCCACTTTACTCATTTTACTCTTTTATTTTTCACAGGAGACTCTGGTTTCACTGACCGCGTGAGAAAATATAAAAAGAAACCAGCAGGTGTCACTCACTGCAGTGAATCTATTTATTTATTACAAGTTTAATTTATAATAAAATGAAAATACTGAAAATTAATCCCAGAGAGACTTTTAAAGCAGGAGTTTTGAATAAATAAACTGGATGGACAAACATTTCTGAAAATAAAACAAGAAACAGTCAGACTATGTGTTGTGCAAAATGAACTTTTTGGATCTTTCCATGTTATATCGTTCTTTTATTTAAAACATGCCTGAAGAGGTTTTAGATGAGCCCATGCATGTTTCAGTCATCTAGCGATCTCACCCTGGCCTTATTCAATCCCTCCTTACAGTGAGTAATAATAATAATAATAATGGCCTATAAACATGGCCTATAAAAGGAGCCCACCTCACTTTTGTCTAGAACAAAATGCTGTGTGTGAGCGCAAGTTTTGCCATGTCTATTTTTAACTTTTGTAAATTTTGTAAATATTTTTTAGATTTTCTTCTTGGTGGTGGAAATAAATGCACTTTGGGGCTGCATTAAAATCGGCTCAACTCGACTCTGTTTCTCTTCGACTGCTAAGGTTGCTATCCAGGATATTACAGCTTTGTATAAAAATAAAAAATGTGACCATTTATATGACGTTCTTCTGGACACTCAAAGACACTTCACAGTTAAAAATTCATTCACTCCACAAACTGGTAAATTTTGTACAGGTGCAAATGCGAGGAACAGCAATTTAAAAGTGAAAAAAAAAAAAAAAAATGCATAGCACAGTCAGTCTACAGAAGACCTGAGTGGCAAAAGAGAGAAAAAAAGAGGCACGTTATTTGGGCTCTATTTTCTAAGTGGGTTTTTTTTTCTCAGCAGTGGCAACTTTTTTTTTTTTTCTAAAAAAAAAAAAAATTATGAAAATAGCTCTGGTAAACCAGTAGAAGAATAACTCATTGCATTAGGCTGTGGGTCAGGATGTGGAAAACTGGGGTTCGAGACTCACCTTTTCATGAGTTTTACTTTTGCGTTCTCTTTTATTAGTAATATGAGAAGTAAGATTGATGCATCACTGATCACACCACAGGCATAAGACGCTGTTTTCTAGTACGTAAGTACGTCTTTATTTATACAGCGCTTTTCACAGACATTTTTGTCACAAAGACACTTTACAGAGCATTATTCAGCATTATTCATTCACTCTACACCTGGTGATGGTAAAGTACTGTTGTAGCCACAGCTGCCCTGGGACAGACTGACAGAAGTGGCCCCTCCAACCACCACCATCACACACACACCACCAGTTTCATACTAGGAAATGTGGGTGAAGTGTCTTGCCTAAGGACACAATGACAGTTTTTGCCACTGGCGCCTCCTGTGGCTCCTGATTTTCCCAGTGTCTCCATCCAAGTCCAGACCAGACCAGGTCCTGCTGAGTTTCTGAGATCTGACGGGATCAGGCTTTGACAGTAATAATATGAATCTGATCAATGTGACAATTCAAACACAAAACAACACACTACAAGTTCACAAACCTGATGCAATGTGCAGTAGTTTCATTAGTTGGATGCACACTGATTGTGTTGTGATGCTCTGAAGGGGGAGTGACTTAGCATGAGGAATAAAGGAAGGGAAAATCAGCGTATCAAAAATTTTACTGAAAGTTATTAAAGATGATATAACGTCTTGGAAAATGTAGAATTTTCAGAACGATAAAAGGAACATGGTGATCTAAATATGTGATGTGTTTGTAAATGTCAATACCCCAAAGAAATGCCCCCGAAATCACCAATGCCCCTGCTGAGTTTGATAAATACTGAGTTTGATAAATACTGTTTGATAAATACTGAGTTTGATAAATACTGAGTTTGATAAATACTGAGTTTGATAAATATTTGATAGTTTGATAAATACTGAGTTTGATAAATACTGAGTTTGATAAATACTGAGTTTGATAAATACTGAGTTTGATAAATACTGAGTTTGATAAATACTGAGTTTGATAAATGCTGAGTTTGATAAATACTGAGTTTGATAAATACTGAGTTTGATAAATACTGAGTTTGATAAATGCTGAGTTTGATAAATACTGAGTTTGATAAATGCTGAGTTGATAAATACATTCATGAACAAGTGTTAAAATAAAACCATGAAAGGGGCCACAGTCATGGTGATCTTTTTATAAAGCCCAGATCATCTTTGTTCAAGCTCAGTTGAAAAATGAAACACTAATACAGCAGTAACAAAATAGAATTCATGATTTATGATTATTTTATGATTTTTATTTAAGTAGAGCAAAACAAAAGGTGAGTTTAATCAGTGGAAACAGCATATTTACATAAAAACAGAAACATTACACTTACATTGGGTCTGGATGGGCACAGCTGCAGACTCTGCTTCACACTGCCCTGTACTCTTGACTCTTTTACATCACACACATATTTATATATACTGTCATGTTTCACAAACACATAAGTCTTAAAATAAGTGCTTTGTCATGTTCAGACTCTCCCTCAGCCCTCATAGAAGAGCCTCTGGAGTTGTTGTTTTTTATCTTCATATTGTTGTTGCCCTTCCTTCAGAGAATCACAGATCTGCTGCATAGAGTCGATCTCTGACTTCCACAGAGCTGCTCTGGCCCTCAGGAACTTTGAGTCCTCATTTGGAGCACCTTTGTACAGATCTATGCTGTTATTGACAATAACAAACACATCCACACCAATAAAAAGGGCATTTAGTGCAATGAACCCGCCTCTTGCACCTTTGGCAATTGCCATGCCCACTTCTGCACCTTTTCCAATTATATTACCTCCGCCTTTAAGAACAGAAGCACAATCATTGGCCATCCTGGCATTCTGGGTGGGGTTTTCTGGGACATGTTCAATATGTTGGTTGATAACATCATCCAGACAATTCTGCAGAAACTTCATATCTTCCATAAAGTTTTCAAATCTCTTTTCAGCCTCTTTCTTTTGTGTATGGTTGACTCCCTTTTCTGCAAACAGGGTGGTTACAGCGTTTAGTCCTGAAAGAACTGCAAGTGCAGTTCCAGCCCCAAGCAGACCCATAGACGCCCCAAATGTTACAGAGATCAGAGTCAAACCAATGATGGACAGTATCCCTCCCACCAACCCCACTGAACTGCCCACCACATTGGAGATCCGTGTCCCTTTTGTCATTTCATCTAACTTCACTGCACAGGCCTCTACATCCTCCAGAAACTGCAACATCACCTTCTTCTTCTGTCTGAATGCCCTCGTGAAGGTTCTGTGTTTGTTCTGGAACAAGAACACCATCCTGAAGTGTTTGTCGTCCCTGGAACAAAACATGTAAACTGTAAAATTTGGTTTGAAAGACGATATTTGCAATTATATGAGACACTTTGACAAAACTTTGATTTGATTCCAAATTATAGATCAATGTCTAGATGTAGTACTGGAATTTTGTATTCTGACTTGTGATTTGTTTTCCAAATTACTTCTGGGACTTGACTTGAACATCATGACTAATGATGTGGGACTTGTGTTTGTGAGGACAGTGGCTGCTGACTCGAGGTTCAGGGGACCTGGACTAGACTCACACTGGGAGACCTGAGGCCTCAACTGATCATTGTCAAGCAAATGGCTTTGTTGTAGCTGAAGCTGAACAGGTCAGATGTGGAGGGGGGGGGACTGTGTTGTTGTGTTTTAGTGATTCTTCTGAGCACTGGGCATGTGAACATGTTGTGTGTGTTGTACCTGATTTCTTGGAGCAGCTTCAAGTGAAGAAACATCTGCTCAATGTCACCTTCAGATACTCCTGATAGATCCACATCAACTGAATTCATGTCCAAACGCAAATCTGTCAGGGATTCTTGTCTGAGGAAAGCATAGATGTGTCTTATGCTTGTAATGTACTGTTTTAGCTGAACCTGCATCACTTCCAGATTCTCCAGTTTGGGGCTGAAGAAAGCTGCATCGTCTCGTTTGAACGAGAGGAGAAAAGGACAGATGAGCTGACAGACAGATATGATCTTCTTCACTAACTCCAGATCAGTGTCTTCAGACAGCAGCTGAACCAGGTTCTGGTCAAACACATGATCTGAAGTCACTGCTAACTTCTTTACTGCCTCCAGAAAGATCTGCATCTCCTTCAGACCCCTCAGAGTCGGCTCCAGTCCCTCCTTCAGATCAGCCTCATCTCTGTAGCCGCTCTCTGGGTCCTTTTCTGCTCTTCTCATTTTCTTTGACTCTTCCTCTCTTTCCTCTATCCATTGAGAGCTTTTGTTGATGAAGTCTGTCACGGTGGTAATGTCAGTGAAGGTGTCTGAAATGTACTGTCTCAAAAACCTCTTCAGTTTGTTCCTGAAGAACATACAGGCTTTAGTTATTTCTTTATCCTTTCACAGATCAGTATTTACCAAACAGTATTTAAAATATGTTATGCAAAAATTACTTACTGTTATATTCTATATTATAGTCATAATTAGCTTGTAATGCAGTATTGCCCTGCATTTGATTTTTTACACACCTATGACCATACAGGGATGTTCAAAAATACTGCGTAGCCGTTACCATTACAGACCAAAATATGTACTGTAAGGTTCTGCTTAGATTCTGTTTCTCCAAACTAGATTTGGGGTGGTGTAATCTATGTATCAGTATGTATAATCTATAGTTTTCCAGAAATCTAAAGCTTCATCTTTGCTGTTTTTAGTCTCAATATTCTTCATATTGAATAAAAACAGACCCACGTTACCTTGAGGCAGTCATCTTGTCGTCTCCTGTGCTCGTGCTTCTGCTCTCTGTCTTATCCTAGACTCCTTATGAGGGAGGGGTTTCCTCTGACACGTTCAGAATGAAACTGAAAGCAAACTTTGCCAGTAAAAGCACTTTTTTTTTTAAAATATATTTTTGGTACCGCTATTGCTACTTTTGCTACTACTACTAAGGAAAGAGTAAAAATATAAATGATAATAAATTCAAAATAAGTAGCAAAAATAGCAAGAGACACATGTCAAATAATGTCTAAATATATAAATGATAATGTAAAGTAAAAGTAAAAATAAAAAAAATATAAATAGAGTAATAAAAATATATCTCAGATGAAATAATGATTGACAGGACACAGGGTTATCTGTTACATAAGGGGGAGTTGTTGTACAGTTGGAGGGAGTATTATCTGTTATATAACACCCCCCCAGTACCCCCACACACCCACAACCCACCCCAGGCAAGTATAAGTCTTTGCCCTCACAACCCTCCTGTGCACTATAGATAAGGTGACCAAACGTCCGTTTTTCCCTGGACATGTCCGTATTTTGTGTCTTGTCCAGGGTGTCTGGGTTTTTTTTTATAAAGTGGTGCAAATGTCCGGGGTTTCAGTACCGTTCATTGGGGGCATTAAACTGAGCGTCTCTCGTAGCGTCTGTGACTTAGAAGGAGCGAGACACAAACAGTCGGTCAGTCTGAAACATACCGAAGCACAAATGTGTATTTAACAATGACTTGTACAAGAAATTTCCGTTTTCCGTCCCGGTCGGGACAAGTGTGAGTCCATGTGCACAGGCTGAGGTGAGAGTCCAGTGTCCCTCGTTTATCGTGGGGGTTATGTTCTAAAAATAACCCACGACAGGTGAAATCCACGAAGTATCAACTTTATATTTTACAATTATTCTATCTGTTTTAAGACTGTAAAACCCCTCACCACAAACTTTATACACTTTTCTCAGACAGGACAGGTGCAACACTTTTTACTTCCTTCTTAAAACTTGTTGCTGCTGTCGTCCTTGTGTTATTTTACTCCTTCTTTATGTAACAAACTGAAGATTCATTTATTCCGTAATAGAGCCCAACAGCGCAGAGTCCTGCACGGGGCCATTTCTGGAGACCCCCAGTACAACAACGCAACCGTGCAGTACAACACTGCACCGGCCAGGACAGGACCGCACCTGCTCGTTAACCAGAGATTATATCAAACTTTTGCGCTGCCTACGGCACGGACTGAACCAAGACTAAACCAGGACTAACCCAGGACTGATTCCAGGACTGAAGAGGAGGACTAATCCACGACTGAACTAGACTAAAACAGGACTAAACCAGGACTGAAACAGGAGTCACCGTCAGGACGAGCTCGGAGGTGACCACAGGAGAAAGGACCGGCTCAGCTCCGCACCTCACGGAGTTAAACGCGGCAATTGCCCGATCGCGCTTTGCGGACAAACTGCTCGGCGTTTTCTCTCTTAAATCCAAGATTAGTCCTGGATTAGACCTGGTTTAGTCCTGACCCACCCGTGTGTAATTACTACCCGCCTGTAATACACAATACGCATTCATACGCTGTCAAAAATTGACCCCCCCCCCCAAGGTGTCCAGGTTTTCACAAACGGAAATATGGTCACCCTAACTATAGAGCTCCAGTGCTTTTTAAAAATATTTCCGCTGAAGAAAACGTCCCAGATCTGCAGTACATCAGCAAACCAAACAAAATTGGTCCGATTGACGAGCCTCTGTTTCCAGGTAGAACAGCGATACCTCCAATTATCAACACGATGTTCCCTGTTAATACCACGGGCCGTCCTCATCTCAAGTGTCATCATGAACTCATAAAACAGCAGCATGTAGAACTTTGTACAAACTCACCGCACATCAGCCCGAAGCAGAAGCTCTGAGCTCAGGAAACAGCAACAGCGGTAAAGAGGAGCACTCACCGCAGCACAGACCCTCAGGACGGGGCTGGGGTCTGGTCCTTGGTCTGGTCCTCTGAGCGCGTTGGTCAGATGGTCCAGAAGCTCCGTTCTCCATGTGCTGGTTCCAGACTGGAGCGAGCAAGACCAGTGCTTGATGGACTGGGTCCGAGCAGGTATGTGTTATCGTCTGTGCGCTGGTTCCTCGGAGGAAAAGCGAGAATGCGTTGTGGAGTAGAGGTCCGGACGGGCTGCTCCGGTCCTCCACGCTCAAGAACCGCGGCTGGTTCCGAGGTGGTGCAAAGCATTCGGACAGAAGCGTGAGTCCAGTTTGGTTGGTTTTATGTTGTTCTGAGCGTCCGTGCTCTGCGCTCTTCCCGGGGAAAGTTCTTCTCAGGCCGAGGCTCCTGACGTCACTCCCCGCTCCAGCTCCTCTGAGCCCGACCTGAACCGGAGCTGCTCCCGCTGGTTCAGGACTCTGGTTTGGATCTAGTCCGACTGTATTTCTCACACTAAGCTAAAAGCAGGGACTTTTTGAAGTTGTATCAATTGAATAGACTATTGCCTATTGCCATCAAATCATCTGGTTAATTAAAAGCCTAAAATAACAAATGCTGGTTGCTACGTGAACACAGGGAACATTGGGACCTCTCTGTGTCTGCAGGTTCTGAACAGACGTACGTACCCCCAATTCTGACTCACTCTGGAGCCACACGTTTGCACATTGGTTCTTGCTCTGATCTTCATGTATCACATTTTCTGTTTTGGCCATTGTTGGTAAAATAAATCGGAAATGAATCGCGGCTGCGTCTGGACAACAATCTGTTATTGCACTGGAGTCGTACAGTGCGAGTCAGACGATCTGCCATTTACTGCCAAAATGGCGACACCTAGTGTGTGACGAGCCGGTATGATGTCAGCTCCTGTGCACAATCCCTGTAAATCCCACAGAATTCCATTGGAAATCAGAGGAAAACTCCAGGTGTGTTTCCTACAGGTTTACACAAGGTGTAACGGGGTGAGTTGGGTTTGAATTGTAAAAATCACACATTTGATCTTTTCTTAACAGGAGAAACCTGTAAAAAATCCACAATTTATGATTTTCTAGTGTTATATCAGTGCAACCAAAAAATGTGTGTTTATAATGGAAGTCAATGGGGCTTTAGGAGAAAACAGCATTTTGTGCAAAAACTAAAAAAAATGTCAAAATTAGTGTTGGGAATATTTTATGACATCCCCGGCCTCTGATAACCCCAACACATACAAATTAAAATTAGTTGAAAAAAACATGCACCTGCACATCATTTGGTACTTTTGCTGTCACAAAAAGGCATTTAAGGGGTTAAAATTAAAAAATATTATATAATATTTGATATGTATGATTAGAGCAGAAGTAAATGAAGACACTGATATAAAAACGTTGGACACAAATCTGTACTGCATAAAAATATTGTGATATTCTTTTTCGATGTCCATTTTTAACACAAAGGACCTATTTTTAAAGGGCGCACAAAGGTTAAGAGACACACACAGAGACACACACAGAGACACACACACACACAGAGACACACACAGACACACACAGACACAGACACACACAGACACACACAGACACACACACAGACACACACAGAGACACACACACAGAGACACACACAGAGACACACACAGAGACACACACAGACACACACAGACACACACAGACACACACAGACACACACAGAGACACACACACAGACACACACACACACACAGAGACACACACAGACACACACAGAGACACACAGAGACACACACACACACACACGAGACACACACAGACACACACACAGACACACACACAGACACACACACACACAGACACACACAGACACACACAGAGACACACACACACAGAGACACACACAGAGACACACACAGAGACACACACACACAGAGACACACACAGAGACACACACAGACACACACACAGAGACACACACACACAGAGACACACACAGAGACACACACAGAGACACACACACACACAGAGACACACACAGAGACACACACAGAGACACACACACACACAGAGACACACACACACACAGAGACACACACAGAGACACACACAGAGACACACAGAGACACACAGAGACACACAGAGACACACACAGAGACACACACAGAGACACACACAGAGACACACACAGAGACACACACACACAGAGACACACACACACAGAGACACAGAGACACACAGAGACACACACAGAGACACACAGAGACACACACACACACAGAGACACACAGAGACACAGAGACACACACAGAGACACACACACACACAGAGACACACACACAGAGACACACACAGAGACACACAGAGACACACACAGAGACACACAGAGACACACACAGAGACACACACAGAGACACACACAGAGACACACAGAGACACACACAGAGACACACACAGAGACACACACAGAGACACACACAGAGACACAGAGACACACACAGAGACACAGAGACACACAGAGACACACACAGAGACACACAGAGACACACACACAGAGACACACACAGAGACACACAGAGACACACAGAGACACACACAGAGACACACAGAGACACACAGAGACACACACAGAGACACACACACACACAGAGACACACAGAGACACACACACAGAGACACACAGAGACACACAGAGACACACACAGAGACACACACACACACAGAGACACACACACACACAGAGACACACACAGAGACACACACACACACACACAGAGACACACACACAGAGACACACACAGAGACACACACACAGAGACACACACAGAGACACACAGAGACACACACAGAGACACACACAGAGACACACACACAGAGACACACAGAGACACACACACAGAGACACACACAGAGACACACAGAGACGAGACACACACAGAGACACACAGAGACACACAGAGACACACAGAGACACACACAGAGACACACACAGAGACACACACACAGACACACACAGAGACACACACAGAGACACACACAGAGACACACACAGAGACACACAGAGACACACACACACAGAGACACACAGAGACACACACACACACACAGAGACACACACAGAGACACACACAGAGACACACACACACAGAGACACACACACAGAGACACACAGAGACACACACAGAGACACACACA